GTTTTCATTAAATTTAACCTCGGTTATCCTGTTTTCATTTTATCTCTTTGTGCATGGTGTGAAATGCCTTTCTCATTCCTTGATAATCAGATATGTTCTATGTTTTCCACTTTTTTTATGAGCTCCTTAACCCCTTTCTGACCAAGCTAACTGTGCTATTTCATATTTTCTGTCATTTTTTGCAGTTGTCCTTTCAGCTTCTTGTTGTTTCTCCACTGACTGTCTTTATATTCCCTTTAAGATGTTGTCAGTTCTGTAGTGAATATTGGTGATACAGTCTACATAAATACCTGGATAAACAGGTATATTGCTAAGGCAACATATTACATACAACGTAATGCAGTATTTCCATGTGAGCTAACAAGAAATCCCTATAAGGCCAGATTTAAATCTCTCTGGTCTGTAACACAAGGTGATGCCTCTGCATATGTTGACAAGATTTCATTAGCCTTTTCTGTAGCCATATCTTCTGGCAAAACCGTATCTAATATTCAGTTTGCTGTCTCTGCTAGATCTCTTTCAGCAGTGCAGCTTCTTTGGATCTCCTCTCTCTCCCACTGAGTGTCTGCATTGTGGATTATTTTCCCTGGAGGTATTAGTGTATATTTTTCCATATATGAAGATAATAAATGGAAGAAGCAGAGATGAAAAGAAAAACAATTACTTGAGAGTAGAAATAGAAAGAGATACAAAGAAAAGACTGAGATTGAAATACGGGAAGAAAAATCAAGGATGAAGAATATAGAAAAATGAAAAAGGAGTTAAATAATCAGAATAAATTAATTAATCAAAGTGCAGATCATGTGGACTAGAATAGCAAAGCAGCAATGCAGAGAGCTGAAAGGAGACAGGGGTAAGAATAATGAAGGATAAGTTGAAATGTAGTATATATTTTCAAAATAATGCATTTGAAAATGCTCTTTGACTTGTTAGACCTGACTTAGCAAGGCTGTCACACGCTGGGCACTGCAAAGGTTGTGACAAGGGTTTGTGAGAAACATCAGATTTTTCCCCTAACAAAAGCAGTGATTCTTACTATGATCATGTTTTTGTTTGCAATTCAGACCTCCCTGATTTTTACAGTGGTGATTCATTATTTTTATCCCTCTATCACAGAGACAGAAACATGATTTAGAAAGCCTAAGTGACTTGGCAAAAGTTATAGAAGTCATTGTGAAGAAACACACATTTCTAAGGCTCAGGGTCAATCCACTGTCCCTAAATTTCTGCAATGCTGTGGTTAGAGAGAAGGAATTCTTGTCAGTTCTCACACCTTCTCTCCATATTACAGATGCTCTTTTGTCATAGGGGTTAAGTATGATGTGTTGACCTCCTCTTTCACCATCTTGCCTCAGATATTTCATCATACAGTGTCCATATCATCCAGTCAAAGTCATTGCCTCAATTAAAGATAGTTGCTAGAAAAGTCTTTGATCTGCTTTTCTTCTCCTGGTGTGACAACGGCCCGCTTTCTGTAGAGATGAGGGGGTTTGCAGACCACCATTTGGAAACCGCTGGCCTCAGTGCTACAGCTGGGGGGAAAGGGAGCCTGGAGCAAGCCCTAACTAGTTCTTAGACAAGACGGTAAGTCAGGGAGTGGAATGACACTATCAGCAAATGAAGGTGGCGGGGCAGGGCTGGGGGGGGGAGAAGTGCAGATGAAGACTGAGCTCAGTAACCAAGCTGCCCACATTCAAAGAGCTAATGTACCAGATATTACTGTTCAAGGCATTCTCACTATTGCCAGGGGCTTAATATGATTTGCATAGCGTGTATGGGTATTCCTAGGGGAGAATGACAGAGATCATTAAATGAAAACAAGTAATAAATAAGCTCCTTACAGCCCCCACAGGTACATAAATATGACTCTATGTGGGGCACACAGGCAAAGATAAATGGCTCAGTGTATCTAGGGTGAGGAATCCATAAAGCAGAGAGGCTTAATTTTTCCCTTTCTGTCCGCAGACAATGCGTTCGCTTACTGCTAAGGAGGGTCAAGTGACTGTCACAGACTTCGCACTGCAGAGACGTCACCTGTGTCACAGCTGCCAGCCCTTCTGGCTTGAAAAGGTCAGCTCCCCAGACACGGGTGGTAGTGTCACAAGTTAAGGACGTGAGGGCCTCCAGAGTGCATTGGCGGCAGCAGATGAGCAACACCTAACCCCACCAAACCATCCAGTTGTGACGAGGCCAGCAGAAATGGCCCCTGAGAACAAGCAGGCTTGTGCCTGTAGTGAAGCTGCACATTTTTTCTTTATTAGAAGATTTTTAGGCTCCCAGTAAGTAATCTGATGTTGCATAGGAAGATCAAGGATACTAGGAGTTTTAATGACTGTAGGTGTTGTGACTGTTACTTATTCCACATGATGGGCTGCCGTGGTTGAAATCAGACTAAAGCTTAGAAAATTCTTTAACTGTGACCTTTCCCATCACTCAGATCCCAAAGATTTTCTGTCAGTTTGGTCTGGGCTAGATTTGAAATTACGGCTTATAAGAGAAAGACACAGTGAATGAATCAAGCAGATTAAGCTAAATTATTGGCTTCAGATTTGTAGTACTCTGTTTTCTACAGGAGATGACAAATAAATATAAAAGGCTGATCTGTCATATCCCATGAAACAGTTAAGTAATTCCTTAATTATAAACATCATAAAGCAGCATCCAGTTTAATCCAGCTGTTATATTACACGACAGGTCATCCTGTACCTCACATGAATTCAAGCCAACACTGAATCAGTTCTGTATTAGAATAATGTAAATTCTCTGTTATCTTTATTGTTTAGTTACATAATTTTCTAAAAAAAAATAATGTCCAAAGAGGAGGAGGACATTTTTGTTGCTTTCCAAAGAGAAATTATAAAGTTTATTCTTACTGTCTTTTAAAGAAGGCTGATAAATGGGATGGGAAACAGAGAAATCAGCAATGTCAGAGAAAGTTTAGAAGATATTAAGCCTACAGATTATAAAATCTAATTGTGATGCCAAGTATGAATAGAGATTAGAATGCATCTTTTCAGTGCACAGCATTATGACACGATACCTCTTGGGGATCTATTTCGATCATCTCAGACTGTCTATTCCAAGTAAATGTGAATGAGTCATTCATATAGTTTAAAAACTAGCTTCATGTTGTCTTCTACAGCCTTTAGTAGGTATTAATTTCTAGTTTTTAACGTGTTTGAACTTGCAGCAAAGATTGCAATGCAATGAGGAAAATAAGTCACATAAACCCTTTAGTGCAGAGACTGAGAGAAGCACTACTTTTGCGTGCACTGGTGCTTAGCACCTGTGGTACTTCAGCTGGAATTGGGGGTGTTCACGGCTCTGACAGTTTGTCAGAACTGTTGCCTCTTGGGGATTCTCAGATGTCATGGCAGGATCAGACTTGATAGTCACTTCTGAAGATACTCAAACTGTCAGTAACATCTGTAGCTGTGGGTTTAAATTTTTTCCTTATGCTCCTAATTTCAGGCTGCAAAGTGCAGGTTTTTTGTGACTAGAAGTGATTTATTACTGTGGCCATATTACAGTATCCTGAAAGTTGCTACCCCTTTTTTCAGACTCTGCGTTTCATCTGAAAGTAAATTTTGGGAAAGCATCACTTTATCAGCTGGATGGTACCTATGCATGGAGTATCTGAATTGCCAAGCTAAAACATGTCTGAAAACTCATTTAACAATAGGTGAGAATTTTCAGAATTTCTTAGATGTTTGAGGAGGGAGGAAGTAGACACTACAGTGCTAATTTAACCTACAAACTACTCCTTGAGTCAAACTTCCCCTATTCCAGTGCCTATGGTGAGGTAGTTGGACATGTCCGTCATTACCTCCAAACGCTCTGAAGCAACTGCAATTTTCTCTGCTCTCACTGGAAACCACAGGTCCTCAGAACCACGGCAAATGTTTTGGTGTCCAGGTAAATAAGTGGTGTTTAGCAGGCTCAGCTCAGATTCTCATCCTTCTGTAATGCCAAAGATGCCTTATAGGTAGTTTGATTTTTTTTTTTTTTTTTTTTTTTTTTGTGGGAATTGCTTTGGTTCTAAAGTGTTGCAAATCTGACATCTAAAAAAGAACAAAAAATTGTCAGAGGGATGGAACACCTATCCTATGAAGAGAGGCTGAGAGAGTTAGGGTTGTTCAGCCTGGAGAAGAGAAGGCTCTGGGGAGACCTTATAGTGGCCTTTCAGTACATAAAGGGGACATATAAGAAAGATGGGACAAACTTTTTAGCAGGGTGTGTTGCGATAGGACAAAAGGTAATGGTTTTAAACTAAAAGAGGGTAGATTTAGACTAGATGTAAGGAAGACATTTCGTACCGTGAGGGTGATTAAACACTGGAACAGGTTGCCCAGAGAGGTGGTAGATGCCCCATCCCTGAAAACATTCAAGGTCAGGTTGAAATGGGCTTTGAGCAACCTGATCTAGTTGAAGATGTCCCTGCAGGGGACTGGACAAGAAGACCTTTAAAGATGCCTTCCAACCCAAATTATTCTATGATTCTATGAATCAGGACATTCAGACAAAAGGAAGTGTTTTCAGCACATTAGGAATCCGGGACAATCTTTTGGAAACCATGGTGGTTAACCTGGTCACCTTAGAACCTCCAACAGTTCTAACCCAGCAGCTGGTTTAACGTACAGATAGATTGCATCGGTAGAAAAATCCAGAATTCTTGTGAAATATCTGATACTTTCTAAAATGGCTTGAAATAAAGCTGGAATCTGCTAAATGACAGGTGGAAGACACAATACTGACGAGGCTGGGGCTCATTCCTCTGTGATGACATTGAAGAACTCTGACATGTTTTGATTTCTTTCTTCTTTCTGATTCTTATGAAGGCTTGAAGAGTTGAGGCCATTCAAAGAGTTGAGGAAAGCTGTGAATGAAAGTTCATTTAAGCAGAGGATACCCTGCAAATGTGAACCAAGCATTAAGTACAGTTGTCTGCAGTGCTTAATTGCCCCTGCAACTTTTTTTGTCTGTCTTCTCATTTTTCCTAGGTTGGCACTTTTGTGGATGAATACCACTGGGAGTTAAGGACTTGCTGTGACTCTCACTCTTACTTATAGGAGTTTTGCCTGCAGCAGTCACATAGTTGAAAAATACAGATTCATGTGACTGCTAAGAGACCACTGAGAAGCCAAGTAAGTAGGACTCATGGCCATTTTGCAATTCCACCTCATTAAACATGTTTTGGGGGTTATGATTGTGCTGTGAGGATAAATAAGTATAAATATTATATTTGCCTCCAGGTTATCTTTAAAAATGTATTTCTCTGTCTCCCTCCCCCTCTTTCTTTCTTTCTTTTTTTTTTTTCCCCCCTCCAATTTTCAGTGTAGTCTGTCAACTCCTGGTAGGTGAGTTACCAACTCTGTGGTCTCACAGTATGGTGGCCCAGCATAAGTTATTACATTGTAAAGGGTTGCCTTGTGCTGCCAATTATCAGAGGTTCTAGAAAGCAGATGTTCAGCAGTATGATTAAATCCATGTGCAAATAGAAATTCACATAACCCCAAAACTACTATTAGAAAAAGTATTGTAAAAAGTATTTGACTTATCCTCAGTGCTGCATTTTCAAAATATCAAAAAGAGGCAATAGCTTTTTTTTTTTTTTTTAATTTGAACAACTCTTGGGAATTACCTTTGAGATATAGAGAGGCAAGACACTACAGAGAAACTTGGGTAAATATATACCTAAATTGATATTGTTGCCCAGATGTTGGTCTTTCTTAAACATACAAAGTGCAAATTCTCTATTACCAATAGAATCCATGGAATTATGCCAATTCACACCAAATGGTGACCTATCCCTCTGTTCTCTTTTACCTCAATTCAAAGCCAGCTTTAGTTTGTGTCCTGGGCTGAGTGAGTGGTGGAGTTTTTTGGTGGCAGGGGAGGGGGCTATCAGGGCGGCCCCCTGTCAGAAGCTTCTCGAAGCTCCCCCAGCTCCAAGCCAGCTCCACTTCTGTTTGGGAAATTGAGCCAATCGGCTGCGCCTCTGTGATAACGTATTTAAGAAGGGACGTGGTGACGGGCAGGGGGACTGGTGAGGAGGAGTTGCTGCAGCTGCATGAACACCAAGGTCAGTGGAGGAGCGGAGGAAGGAAGGAGGGGGGAGGTGTGCCAGAGCAGAGACCCCCCTGTATCCTGTGGGGAGACGGCAGGGCGGCCCCCCCTGCCACCCATAGAGATCTACAGTGGAGCAGACATTGATTTATGGCCTGTTTCTCCTGCTCGGATGATCAAGGTGCTGTGCCCGAAGAAGGCCGGGGTCTCATGGGAAAAGGCAGCCCCGCTGCTGTAATTCAGTGCTGGGAGGATTGCAGCATGCGAGGGAGTCCCACGCTGGAGCAGCTCGGGAAGGGCTGCAGCCGTGGGAGGGAATCCAGTCGGAGAAGGTTAGTGACCCAATGACGGAGCAGTGTGGGGAACGCTGCGGCCCGTGGGAGGAATTCATGTCGGAGAAAGTTTGTGGAGGACTGTCTCCTGTGAGAGGGGGACCACGATGGAGCAGGGGGAACAAGGTCCAGAAACTCCCCTCACCGAAGATAAAGAAAGTGGCAGCACTGACTGCACCCCCCATTCCCTGCCCCTGCACCGCTGGGGGAGGAGGTAGAGATATCGGGAGCAGAGCTGAGCTCGGGAAGAAGGGAGGGGTGGGGGGAAGGTGTTCTCAAGATGGGGCAATGCTTCTCACTGTCCTACTCTGTTACGTGTTGTTAGTGTCTGTAATAAATGTATGTTCTTTTTTTCCTTCCCCTAACGAGTCTGCCTTTTGCTCGTGATCATAAAAGGGGGATTTTTCCCCATCCCAGTCCTATCTTGAACCCCAAGCCTGGCTCTCTGTCCCTTCTCATTGCCGGAGGGGAAGGGAGAGAGAGCTGCTGCATTGTGGTTGGCTGCCAACCAGGCCTAAACCACGACAGTTTGCCTTGGTATATTCACTCTTACATACTTCCTGATTTTGCTGTTATGGCTACTGGGACTGGTATTAGGACAGACCCCTTCTGAGCAGTTTTCCAGTCTACTTCATTAGTTTTAGTCTCTTTATTTCATATTTTCACAGATTTTAAGAGTTCCTTTCCAAGCTATCAGTAAGATGTCATCATCAACAGCTGTTATTTACGTATGTACAAAACAACTGCATTAATCGGTACACGTGGTGCCGTGGTGTAGAGTATAGTCTGAGGAGCTAGGCAGAGTGAAATCCACACCCTGATTTATCTGACTTGGTATGGTACCAAGCACAGCACTGCGCAGATAAAACATGCTTATTTCCTCTGTCCCCAATTTACTGGGGCAACATAAATGCTGAAGATGCCACTCTACAGCATCTCAGTATGGTATTTCTCCACAGCTGCTACTGCAGTGCAGGAGAATGGGTTAGCTACCAGATGAATCCAACCCTCCGCTGTAGTGACATTGCTTTCACTGATGAGCTTGCCAACAAGCAAAAGGGTGTTAGCCCTACCTTGGAAGGACTTCAACATGTGCAGGGCGATGTAGCAATGCTTGGTTTTCAATTTCCTAAAGGTATTCCTGCTCTTTTTTCCTTACAAGCAAGTGTCTTATCCTTATTCCAGTGTGAAGGCTTCAAATTCACTGTAATTAATGCAGGTTTGATCTAGGGTAAATGTTACCATAGTCAGCTCCAGTCGTTCCTATTTCCATTTGCCCATCTGGGAGTTCAGAAAAGTCATTTGACTGCCTTGTTCAGTTTGGCTTTATCTAAACTGGCATTTTAAATTATGATCTACCTTTAGCTATACAGAGCTTTTAATGACTCTGTCATAAATGGTGCTGTAGGAATTTATAGACCCTCAGTGCTGTCTGTGGGAAAGCCTGAAATAAGTGAGTTGGTCTTTTGAGGCAGCTGCGACATGATGCAACAAGAGCGGTTCCTTTTAAGTACAAAGCAACACTTGTGTTTGTATCATTTACATGCTTATTTTGGCTTATTGACATTTCTAGGAGATGATGCCAGGAAATATTGTTACCTTTTCATATTCAAGGGGATGTTTGGTGTTTGGGGCTCACGTAGTTTTAAAATGTGGGTCTGAATTACCACGAGGTGGCAGTGTGTAAGGTGCGAAGTATATGTTGATTTTACCACTTTTCCTTTTATTTTGTTACCAGACCAGGTGACAGTTGGACTTAAGTGATCGTTGTAAGTCCTTTACAACTGGAACTATTCTATTCTACGTTTTCTAGTAAATATAGATGTTAAAAAGTTATGTGTGGATCCTGAAGAATTTATGTTTTTGCAAAGGATACTTTGTTATGCACTGATAGTATATGCTCAAGTCAATCTATGAAGCAAGTTTGTATACTGCTTTGAGAAGGACTGCAATCCTTTATGTAAGGATCAGAAAAGGGTTTTAGAAACAGTGACCATACTGTTTCCATTTCTTCCTATACTAACCCTCCACTTTCTGAAGTACAAAAAAGCACAAAGAGACTGTGCTGTCTTAAATGGCAATGTTTGAGAAATATAGGACATTCCTCTGTCCATGTGTGTGTACACACATACTGAGCAAACAGATACAAGACAGCCAGCAGAAAGAAACTATGCTGGTGTTTGTTTCCAAAACATTTTCACTGGGATGGTTAAAAGAGCCTTCACCAATGTCTGGGAAAACCATGTGCGTCTCCGGTGAGGGACAGTTAGTAGGTAACCAGGAACCATGAACACCAAATGACAACCAGCTTTGCCAATAAGAGGTACTTCTTTCCTCCTTTCTTAATAAATGTTTATGCTTTTGAATAGTTTTACAATGACAGTAGGAAAAATTGTGTCAAAAGCAGTGGCTTAATCTACATATAACATGGTCATAGACAGTGTGAATTAATACTCTCCAAGGTTAGTCAAAACACAGTATGCTGGGAAGAAATTGTTATTGCTGCAAAACTTGTACAAAACAATTCTTTATGGCAAAATTTCTGAGTCTGCATGCTCAGAAAGTAAGTAAAGCTGTAACAATGAGCAGAGCTTAAAAGAATCCTGTAGTTCTTCATGAGCAGATACCATCCAGAAGGCTTCACATGTCTCTGTTTTCAGTAGTGCACAAAGTCTCTATACATAATGTCCACAGAAAAGACCCTGGATATAACCCTTGGCAAAGAATAAGTTACTTTCAGTCGCAGTGCTCTTCAGCTAGAAGCCATATACAGATGAGCTTCATGCTTGGTCCTGTGGGAGGAATATAATCATATTCTGTCTCTGGTCAAACTGGGCACTGGTCTTCTAATCACAGAAAGCTTCCCCACAATTTTAGCAATGTTTTTTGACTTGGTGAGGGACCCTCAAGGTAAATAAAGGTGAGATGCAGCTTGTAGCATTTCTGCAGTGTGCTTTCACATGTGATATAGACCTAAACTGTAGTATCCTTTGGTGGTTTGGATTGAGTTTTTTTCTGTTTGTTTCTGTTCTGAGGTATAGTTTCAGGTTTTAAAACCTCTACAAAAATTAGAGTCTTTTTAGATCCTCATAGTGAAATAGGTAGCATTGGGCTGTTTGGATAATGAAAGTGACAGTGTTTTGAGGAGCTTTGTGGCATTGCACTGTAATATATTTGCATTTATCATGTCATATTATTTCATATTATTGTCTTTAGGAAGTCTGAGAACCTGCCCTAGGAGGTTATTTGACTGAATACTGGTGTGTTGGCTATAAATCTTGCATAAGAGGCCATTTGTCTGTTTGTGTGTGGTTGTCCTGGGTTGAGTGAGTGGTGGAGTTTTTTGGTAGCAGGGGAGGGGGCTATCGGGGCGGCCCCCTGGGAGAAGCTTCTCGAAGCTCCCCCAGCTCCACGTCAGCTCCACTTCTGTTTGGGAAATTGAGCCAATCGGCTGCGCCTCTGCGATAACGTATTTAAGAAGGGACGTGGTGACGGGCAGGGGGACTGGTGAGGAGGAGTTGCTGCAGCTGCATGAACACCAAGGTCAGTGGAGGAGCGGAGGAAGAAAGGAGGGGGGAGGTGTGCCGGAGCAGAGACCCCCCTGTATCTTGTGGGGAGACAGCAGGGCGGCCCCCCCTGCCACCCATAGAGATCTACGGTGGAGCAGACATTGATTTATGGCCTGTTTCTCCTGCTCGGATGATCAAGGTGCTGTGCCCGAAGAAGGCCGGGGTCTCATGGGAAAA